GGACAAGGGGGGAACCACGGGGGATGGACCCCCACGGCCAGGACCGAGGGGGGGCTGGTGGGTCCCAGGTCATTCTCATCAGAGCTCCCCAATAAACCTTCCTCCCGCCAAGCTGCTGACCTTTCGCTAGCGGCTGGAGGGTAAATGGTTGATAAATAATAAATCCCTCACCCCAGGCTCTTGCCCAGAAGCCTTTAATTAAAGTAGTTGAGTTACTCTAAGGTCGCGGTGATTGGCATTTCAATCCCAGCCCGAACGCATCCATCAAACAAACGGCATCAAAAAACCACACTTAATTGTGTCTTCTCCTAATCACACCAGCTACTCGCGCATCCTTCCCCCAGTAGTTTCCCAGTCACCCACCAGCTCAGAAGATCATCTCTAACTGCTTCTCCACCGCCACAGCCAGCCAATCTGCCCAAGAGCTTCCAAGAATTTCCTGATTTACACCGTGTGAGGGCTGCTCAAAGGGTACACTTAGATATTGCCAGGTTTTCCCCACTGATTTGGCCACGTACCTGCTTCAGAATTATAACAGGCGCATGCCAGTGAAGTACACAACTTGTGGAGCACGGCTACACCCTCCCCACCGACAGGAGGTTACACTGCCACTGCACAAATCCAAGTTTTTTTGCACTTTCCAAGTCACAGCTTGGTCTACCGGGCATCCCAGGTTTGGGCCAGGAGCAGAAGGGCGGGTTGTAACAGACCTCTCACACAAAGCCACGAAAACTGAGGGTTCAGAAGCTGGACAGTCGCTGGCATTTCAAATGGAGAAGGGGAAGAAAAAACCACGAGGGTCTCTTACTCCCAGCCCTCAGGCCACGGCTGCATGTGAGGGTAAATCCCACTGCTCCCCAGTCCAGCCCGTGGCAGAGCAGCTGGTCCAACTGGGAGTGCTCTGCCCGGAGGAGCCACCCCAGTGACCTTTTCCAACACAAAATAAAAATTAATTCCAACTTTTGGCCTGTCTGCGCCGCACAGGAACTCGCTCAGGGCACAGCATAAGGCTCTAGTCTGTGTTCTAAATTTGTTATTGCTCAATATGCTTCAAATAAGTAAAGGAAGACAGAGCCAAGCTCAGTAAAGCTGCAAGGATGAAGCTCGTTACAGCAGATGATCAAGCAAAAAGCTCTGCGAGTAATGTTGGCGAGTTTGGAGAGAAGTGACAACAAACAGACCACCAGGCTGTGAATGAAGCGAGTGAGAAATCTCTCACGTGTTATCACATCCAACTTCACAGCGCCTCTCTTTTTTAAAGCGCTTCCATTTGCAATTTTTGGCAAGCCAAGAGCATCATCAACAGTTAAAAACGCAAAACAGGATGCTCAAAATAAAATTTTTACCTCCGTAAAAATCCACGGAAGGCAAAGACACAAAGCTGCAGCGTAGGAGACTCGGAGCTGTCGGTCTCTTCCCTCAGGCTGGTGATAATTGTTCAGCCCAAGGGAAGAAAACGAGGCACGAGGCGGGAAATTCACATCCCAGCTGCCAGAGATTATTCCGTAATAAAACTTCACACTCCTCTAGTTACAGAGCAGAATTAGGAATAAAAATTTGACCTTCCACAGATACCCGACTAATTCTGCTGTAATTACGCTGCTACCAGGGAGTGAATCAAGCCAGGCAAAACCAAACCACAGGCTTTTTTAAAATCCTCCTCCTCACGGACCTACAACACAGATCCATGAGGTTTTGTGCAGCACATAGAGCAGCATTGTGGAAAAGGTGTCTGGGAGGTACAAAACAAGGGGGAAACCTCCACCTTTTTCTTGTAGGGGAGAGGGGGACAAGGAGGTAGACATGATTTACAACTCTTTGTGAAGGGAGTTTGGTTTTTTTAAAAGAAAAAGGAAACAAACTAAAACCCCAAACATAAAAAAAACCCCAAAACCAAAATAAGCAAAAAAAAAAAATCAAACAGTAATTGTTTTTCATATAGCCCAAAGCCCAACTGTTTAATAAAAAATACCCTAGGCACTGGAGATGGCAAGAATGACACCAATGGGCTTCAAATACTGGTAAGATGGATTGTTATTCTCTTATGTCGCTCCCTGCCAGGGTTCCGTGGCTATTTCTGCAGCAACACACAACTTTCTCTTCAGCAAAGAGTTGTAGCTCCGCATCCTGCGCCCTTCTGAGGTGACCAACTGCATTAAGAGTCACTGAAAAAGGGCAAAGGTCCAAATTACCTGGTATTGTTACACTTTATCCTATTCCGAATTTAAGCAAATGATGGAATAGCAAGAGCATATTATTACACTGACATAAATAGCAGCTCCTGCACCAGCTATAGACAGGTGATGCTTCCGACTGCTGTAGGAACACAGGAGGCAAATGGTATCTGCCCCTGCAACAGAGTCAAGAAACATCTTTACTACAAGTAAGGTACCTGAAGCAGCAGAACTTCCATTTTTTAAAGGAAGATGTTTAATTTTCCACTTCTGTGCTCCTATTTTCCAACTCGCAATTTGAGATAACAAGTCTTGAACCTCAGACAGATTTATTATCTCCAATTATACAAATGGGAGATGGAAGGAGAACATGTGGCACATACACAATCACAGAAGGCACTAGAGCCGAATAACTGAGGCATATTTCCCCCCGGAAAATGTCTCATAACCGCCAGGTTGTGGAGGCAGAAACTCTGGCTCCAAGCAGGTGAGTGCCACAGGCAGGGCACATCCTGTCACCGGACCGCAGCACGGCTCTTAGGAGGGCAAGGGATTTTCCTTCTGCGTTTCTGCCTGCTCTGGCGTCTGCTCCTTCTGATCTTTCTTCCCTTTCTGCACCTCTTCCAACACCGTCTGGAGCTGCAGGTGCAATGCAGAATCCCTGGTTCCAACATCTTGATGATCCTCTTGCGCTACCTACAGTAAAAGACAATCACTAAGAAACAGGGTTGTAAAAAGTTCCTGTCAGAGTGTGACTGAAGAGAGCACTGGAAAGCAACAGCCCCGGTTTGTACATCGAGAAAAAAAGCTGTCAGAAAAGTTCTAATTCATGCTCAGATTATTTTTAAGGTACAATACAGTGCTAAGGTATCACCAGGGCAAGAAATTTAAAATGAGACTACTGATCCCAAGCTAAAAGATGAAAGAAAAAGTCAGTGATTTCATCTTTCCAGGTGCCCAGGGGACAGTGCACTTTAAGCGGAACCAATTTCTGTTCCTCCTCAGCCTCTTTCGCTGGGGAAAGCACCACGGCCCAGAGATCATTGGGTAAGGAGGAGAGTGGAGGGCGTATTACCAGAATAATAAAATTGAGCTAACAGAGTTTAAAACTGCAGGTTTTATAAACAGCTCTTCTCCCTTCTTTTTGGGGGTGTTCAACTACAAGGACAGCATTCTCAGAAGAAACGGTAATCAATTAATCATGAACAAGGTAAAACATTTCTAACCATCACAGAGCAGCCATAGCCTGCTCTACCGGACGTGTTGTTCAAGAAACATCTTGTTTGTTTTTTTACCCCATTTTACATTAAGAGTTACAAGACTCCACATGCCCAGGAGCCATTTTCTCTCTCGTACATTAGGGAAAACAGAAAGCTGTGCCAGAACACTTTCAACAGTTCTTTTGGACAGCTATTTTCTTGCCAAAAATGTAAGTAAACAACATCCAGACTACAAACCTCTATTTCTGTATCTTTAAATAAAACACGGCAGGGGGGGGGAAAAACCCAAAGCAACAAACCACAACAACCCCAATGCCAAGATTTATGAAAAAAATTCCAGTTCAGGATCAAGGTTGAAGAACAAGAGCGAGAGGTTCTCATTTACCCCCCACTAGAGAGCACGTGTATACGGCAACAGGCACACGTGCTTCCAGGTGCTTTATACAGACACACTGACGAGTGACTGGAAGGCACTGAAGGCTTAAAACTTTAACCACCAGAACAAGTGCTTCTGTCCCCCAGGTGCCTCAGCCTTGGCCTGTCACGTTCAAGAATAAAAGTACAGCAAAGATGTTTTATTACAACCATCAGGCGTGTGATTGTTTTGCTCAGAATTTAATTCGGACTAACTCAGCATTAAGGGACTGGAAGCCAAGTTTTCCGAATCCCCTGGCCCAGCAACTCTGTGAATGTTTACTTACTTTGTCTGTTCCTCTTCTCTGTAAAATTATCCCACTGGCTAAAAGGGCTTTTCCTGTTTCTTCAAACAATCTTTCCTCTTCAATTTTTCCTTCTTCCTTCAGTTCATTGAATTTCTCAACAAACCTAGATTTCAAAATTGTAATTTTACTCTCACAAAGAGTGCTTTGGCTCGCCGACAGGAGGAAGGGACAAGTTCCAGGAACATTTAGTTTAATCACAAATAAATCCTACCTCTGGCAAGTAGATTTGTAGTTTAATTGTGACAGGTCGAAAGGTCTGGGACCACTGCCATAAATTCTGTAGAATTTCCTATTCAAAAAAAAAAGAGAAGAGTTTCATTTTTCAAACCATCAAAAAGGGATGGAGTAAATAAACAACAGAGTCAGTTAGTTTAGGCTAAAACAACAAGCATTCACATAACTATCTCTCCTTTTCCCATTAGCTATTATGTTATACAGAGATGTTTAGTCCATCATTTTTAAATTTTAATAAATTCTAGCTAATCTTCACCGCCACCGGTTAAGCCAGAGCACTCTAACTTCTCCACAGAGGGTTTGAGCCCAGCCTGGTCACACAACGCGGCTTACAGGAGTTTTTCGTGGTACCGGCATCACCAGCGATTGTAAACAGACGGCAGACAACAGGTTAGAAACACACACTGACACAAACAAGCAGAGAGAACGCTGCTGGAAGGCCCAGTGACAGTAAGGCAGCTGTATCCCCCCGCGGGGCCACCTGAGGGGCAGCGGAACGTCCCCGGTGAACGGCGGGACTCAGGCACCCCTCGGCGGCCGCCCCGGCAGGGAGAGCGGTAACTCACGCTCGCACTTGGTCCTCCTGGTAGAAGATGGGAGGGATGACATCCTTCACCTTGCCGTAGCGCGGCTTCGGCACGCGGTAGACGGGCTCCCTCCGCGGGGGGAAGGCAGCGTAGACGTCGAACCACACCGGCTTCTTGATCACCCCGATGCGGAGCAGGTTGCGGGTCCTGCCGGGGAGAGGAAGCTCAGAGGACGCCCGCACCGCCCCGGCCTTGCGCCTCCCTCCCCGGGGACCCCCCGACTCGCCCTCCCGGCGCCCGCCAGGCCCCGCACCGGCTGAACACGCTCCCTATCTTCTCCAAGCGGTTCCCCGCCATGGCGGCGCCGGCGGGCAGGCCTCCCCTAGCAACGGCGCCACCCTAGCAACGCTCCGCCCTTCCACCCG